TTTTTTGGCTTTTTCGAGACAGGGTTTTTCCGTAGGTTTTGGTTCCTGTCCTGGAACTAGCTCTTGTAGACCAGGCTGGCCTCGAACTCACAGAGATCCACCTGCCTCTGCCTCCCGAGTGCTGGGATTAAAGGTGTGCGCCACCACCGCCCAGCGGAGGGAGATCCTTTATCTGAGTTATTTCCCTGGTTCTTTCTACCGTCCCACTCATCATTCACATTGTGTAAAATTAAGAGCCTTCCCGCAGTAGCCGGGCACACACCTTTAATCCCAGCACTTGGGAGGCATAGGCAGGAAGTAGGAGGATCTCTGCATTCGAGGCTGGCATAATCTACAGAGTGAGTTCCCAGACAGCTAGGGGTGCACAGAGAAACCCAAAACAATGACAACAAAATAACCCTTCCAGACTGAGGGCAGAGATGACTGGTCCTAAACTCACCAAAGCACAGTGAGTTGGGAGCAGGCAGGACCCTGGAAGATGTATTCTCAGGTCCTAATCCGCCCATCCACCTCAAGTTCATTCAGGTGGGTGCCAAGCCCAGTGTGATGGCTATTCTTGGTTATCAACTTGGCTACACCTGGAATTAACTGAAACCCAAGTAGCTGGGTACACCTGGGAGGGTTTTTTTTTTTTCTTAACTAAATCGTGTGAGGTGGGAAGACCCATTTTTAATCTGGATCTTTTGGGATGGGAAGATCCACCGTTGCTGGCAGCCTATGTAAAGGACACAGATGAAAGAAGCTTCGCTCTCACGTATTGGCTTTGTGGGAGCCTAGGCTGTTTGGATGCTCACCTTACTAGACCTGGAAGGAGGTGGGAGATCCTTGGACTTCCCACAGGGCAGGGAACCCTGACTGCTCTTCGGGCTGCTGAGGGAGGGGGAGTTGACTGGGGGAGGGGGGGAAATGGGAGGCAGTGACGGGGAGGAGGCAGAAATCTATAATAAATATATAAATAGATAGATAGATAGATAGATAGATAGATAGATAGATAGATAGATAGATAGATAGAAGCTTCGCTCTCTTTGCCTGCTTGCCTTCACTCTTGCTAGCAAGTCACTTCTTCACTAGCATTAGGGTCTACTTCCTTCAGGACTTGGTACATACCGCAAACCAGCTGAGACTGAACAGCTACAGGATTCTTGAACTTTCTGTTGGTAGACTGTCATTGTTGGACTAGTTGGACCACAGCCTGTAAGCCATTCTAATAAATCCCCCCTCTCTCTTTTTCTCTCTGTCTGTCTGTCTCTCTCTCTATATATATATAATGTAATATGTGCATATAATGTATAACACAC